TTGTTTCCGCTAACGATATTAATCCAGCAGGATTCAAATAACTCAGTAGATAATTTGATATCGGTCCTCATGCTTGATTTTAGAGTTTGCGATATATAGATGCCAGCCCCGCCTGCGGCTGTTGGAGAATCTTAATTGGTGATAAAAATTATATAGCCTGGTATTTGAATGTTTACTACAGTATTATTGTTTAATTTAGTTTCTGTAACTGCTAAAATATCAGGCCTATTTCATAAAGTATAAATTAGATCATTAACAAGGTTATGATTTTTGGGTAGGCTTCTTACATTGCAATGAAAGAGTGATAAGGACTTTGATCTCTTATCTTCTAATGGACGATTTAGCTTGGTCACAGTAATAATTAGAAGTTATATTACTTAACATAAGGTCAGGATAATTTTCGTCAAGTTTCTTAGGGTTCGGTAATATATCGAACAAATCAGCTACCAAATCTAAAATCTATTACTAAGCGAGTGTAAGCACCATTTTTACCCGGTAATTAGTCCCGTCAAATCACATCCCAAAATGCGTCTTTTCGTCAATATTTGCAAAACTTTGCTCTTCAATCAATTTATTTTATTAGCTAGGAAATTGTATAATCAAATATACTCACTAATGAATTTAAAGACTTTTAAAGATATTCGCTTTTTCACACAATTCAAACACTTTAATTTTCAAATACTTCAAAGACATGGGGCCGGTTGTATAAAAACATAGTTAGCGCTAACTGCAGTTAAAAAATGGTTAAAAGGTAGTAACTTTAATCACGCAGTTTAGCCGGTTGTATAAATTAAAGTGTCGTTAGCCTTATAACTGTAGTTAAAAAGTAGTCAAAAAGTAGTTAAAGTTAATTAGTATGCTTTAGGGTATAGTTAACCGTCCAAAACGCATAGTTACAAATGGCGCTTGTACATATAGGTGTGAACAACATTTTACAGTAAAACAACAATTAAAAGCAACGCTTACATTGGATTTTCAATCGTTATCTTCCCTGTGTATGTTTTCTGATAATGTAAACGTTAAATTTTGTGTTTTTACGAAAACAGAATATTTTTTTGCACAGGACGATTTCTCGAAGACAAATTGGTAAAGTTCATTACACCAAGAAACACTGATACTGTATATATATATATATATATATATATATATATATATATATATATATATATATATATATATATATATATATATATATATATATATATATATATATATATATATATATATATATATATATATATATATATATATACAATAATAAATCGTTGTCCGTTGTACAAAAAGAGTGCTCAATAACAAATTTAATTGATAGAGCAAAATATACTAATTATAATCTTAAAGGAGTTATTTGCTTCAGCGAATAATCAATTTATTGCTTCCGTGGGAATTTTGTTGGGATATTTAGGGATTTGGGGTAGCACGCGGAATGGGGTTATGGAGGGAACCTGGCAGGGAAACTCGTTCAACCAGTTTTATTTCCCGT